ACAAATTATAATAACTTTTTTATATGATCTACTTATCTATTAACACACAATAAAAGTACTAAAATTCATATAAAAGATAAGTAATAATTAGTGCAATAATTAGTAAATTAAGGAAAGGGTTGAAACGGTAAATATTACAATTATCACGCGATACATTGATTTCTGAGCAAGGTCTTCGTTTATGAAGTATCTGAACTTTAATTGTATAAGTTATAAAAGTTAGCTAATGTGTATAAATTACTATGATGATGATGTATAACATTTCATAAAATAATATAACATTCTTGTGATACTGTATTGTAAAATATATTTGGATATTACAAAACAAAAAGCCATAAAATTGTCATTTTGAAATCTTAAAAAATAAATTTAATAATATAAAAATGTACAAAATATAAGCAAGACCACTTATGATATTACTTTGAAAATTTTAACAAAAAATCAATTCTCACAACAAATGCAAGAATATTCTGTTGGACACAAAGTTTGACACAAAAACAGTGAAACATTTTACACGACATTAGTTATGGATTGAAACGATTTTCAATGCCATTGAGAGTAAGAGACAAACAAAACCATAAAATTAATGCAAACTTTGTATGAAATTAATTGCAATTAAATATATTTTACGATAAAATTCATATGAAATCAAAGTGAAGCCAATAAACAGACAAATCTGATGGCAATTATGCAAAGGTTTTGTAACTATAGCTCACTATTGAAACACAACTTCAATAACGGATTGGTTTCGCAAACGATTCGGTAATTGATTGCCATTTGATCCCAATTTGCCACTCATTTGATGCAATTGTCTGATCCGATGGTCACGCGTGCGAAGAGCCCTACACTCGAGCGATGTCCGTCTGGAGAGCGAGGGGTGGCTGTCGAAGCTGTTGATGGTGCGGAAGATTGACCCTGGTAGAGAGTCCCACTCCAGACTTCTTAGCGATACGGAGATTGTCTACGAAATGCAAAGTTTGTCACCACTTTTTGATCACTCCATTTGATCCGTTAATTCCCATTCTATGAGTATATGTTAAGACAATAACAGTTAGACACGAATAGGACTAGAGATACAGTGCTATCAAATAGGGGTCTCTTATCAGTAGATGTGATCTTAGATGAGATTAGATACAAGAAGTGATGTATTAATCGGTTGTTTGTATTGATCGGTAGAGCACGACGTGAAGCCCAGCAGTTCCGAGGCTTATCTCAACAATTAGTGAGTTATCATCGGTTTTACTATTTCTTGAATCTATGATCAACTACGAGAACAACTCAATGAATATCTGTTTTGTTGGTATGAAGTGAGAAGTGGACGAATCAGTTGCAGACGAAGAACTCGAACGCGGAACTGGTGGGCAGTTGGAAAGTGGCCATCGGTGACCAGGATCAGTATAGTTAGTGTCCACTCTTTATCAGTTATAAGACATTCAAATCAATTGTATTTCGATTACCAAAGTCCACGTCTGGCGCTATAAGGGATGGCGTATGGC